GCTTGCCCGTGGTTTTCGCACACCCATACAGTTTGTGGCCGGCGTCTTAGTGCATAAGGTTATGATAAGTCGGCTATCTTTCGGATTGGGATGAGTGTGTTTGGTAGCACTTTTAAGTGTAACAAGCACACTCAACTTCATTCTTTAGTGCATTAGCGCTATGATACGCGGAGTTTTGACCACTGGCGTCTTAGTAGCGTGCTCATACGTTGTTGTTTTTAGGTAACAATACAAATTTTGTTACCAAAGTCGATAGGGATCATGTGGGTGTGTTGTGAGGGTGCGTCATCCATATGATAGTTCCATTGGTCCTTAGCCACGCAGATTCGTGCTACAATCATATCATACGTGTAGCATAGTTCTACCATGCAAAAAATTAATTAATAATCGCCTTTTTCAGCCTCAGACAGCCTTTCGAGGCAGCCACTTTAAAATAGGCATTATCAATTTTACTGTTCTTCTTCATCCGTCCGTAAGTCCTCTGTTGGACTTGCCTCTCCTGTTACGTAGGTTTGCCTTGTATAACTGCCGACATAAGTCGTGAGCACACCTTTTATTGGTCGATACGACGTTGACCACGCTGACGTTCAACGTGATTGGTTCATTAGTCGATTCTCGTCGTCTATTAGTTTCGAACATATCATCCGGCTTCCGTACACTTCAGAGCAATAATTTTAATGACTTTAATAATTTTTAATAAGTTTATTTTCGTTAATTGTTTTTGTCAGCTCGTTGTTAATTATTGTTTGTGTATTCCTTGTTATTAATTGTTTTTTTTATTTCTTGTTTTTAATTATTTTTGTTGTTATAATTTGAGTGTTCAGATTTAGGTCTAAATATGCAGAGAAGGAAGAATTCGGTGTTAAATAAACAATCCCGACAAATTTTCTATTCAGTGTTTAGTTACATGAAAAAATTAGGTACTACGAAAAACATCATAGACATACGTCTGTATAAACAGACTGCTGAGGCGACTAATGTTGCGCCCTCCTTTCTGCCAAGGAGGGTCGCGTTCGTATACGGCTTAGAGATCTCTAGTCAGATCGTTAAGCCATTTCCTAAAAGGCGGTGTTTAGTGGGTAAAAGTCTCCACATAACCACGCAGCCGGCTGCGTGGTATGCTATGAGCATTCACCGCCTCCCTCCCCCGCTTTCCGGAGGGTTGCCCATATTTGCTTCGGGCGCAAAAAAAACTGTACGGCGCACCGCAACACCAGAGTTTATGGAAGGCATATCACCTCTTCCTTCTTCTTAATAAAATAATCAATTCTAACCACCAGGTATACATTAAATACTTTATAGTAGATAATAAAAACGGACATGAATATCTGCAACATTACTGTATCAAAGTAAAAGTTGATGTGTTCGAGTAAACATTTTCATAAAAGTCGCCGAAAATATTAAATTACGAATTGAAATAATAAAGGTATCCAATAATTTTGCCCGACAGTGTACCTACCTCCCACCACAGTTTATCTGTGCTCACCACTCGTGTCGGCAACTATACATCACGTGAAAGGCGGATTGACAATTGTAGTACTTTGACTTTGCTACCTGTAGTTTCCATGGTCAATTAGCAGATTGGTCGCTTTATCAGCGTATGCTTAGTAAATATATTGTAATTATACATTATTTAAAAAAAACGCCCTGTCCAATTCGAACAAGAGCATGCATATACGTATCGCAAAGACCTTAACAAAAGAATTAAACATCGTACTACGAATATGAATATAAATAATATGTTATTGTTATTTAAAATTTTACTACAATTTGCTTAAATTTTAGCAAATTATTAAAATCTGTCAGTAGTTAGTACCAACATCGGCGACGGTAGTTGTAAGCTTATAACGTCTTTACCTATGAAATTGCCATTTTTTATGCAATAAGTTAACGTACCAATTTTTTTTAATATTTTTTATTTCGCGATGCATTTTTGCCAACACCGTGGCAGTTTATTGATGTCCTTGAAGAAATCGGAAAACGAGAGGCAACAAATTCCTCATAGGCATTTTGTACTATTGAGTATTAAAAAAAAATCCCGCCAAAAACTTATCCAAATTCTGGAAAAAGTAGAAGACTGAGGCGCAGGGCCTTGGATCTTGGAGTGATGAATTTTGGAACTTGGAGACAGTCTGTTGGGTAGTATTAGGAGTCGCGCGTTGTCGTGCAGGAGCAGCGGAGACGAGCTATTGACCAAAGCTGGTTCGTGCGAAATTTTTGACCTTGCCAGTTAGACGCAAATGGACAAATATTGTTTTGATGCTAACGTCGAAAGCTGCTACTAATTTAGCCGTACATTGAGTATCATCAGCTTTCATGGGGTTCATTGTTCAGGTCGAAATTTCCAGAACGGGAGCGGGCAAAGAAATTACAGATGGTGCGCTCGTTTGTAGTGTTCGCTCCGTAAACGTCGTTGATTTTGTGTGCCGTTTGTGCCGCTTAACTGCCCCGAACCATCGCGTAGTGAGTACCTACCGACTCATATTCCATAATTACTCGAACCGACTCATATTCCATAGTTACTCGATTTTTTAACGTATCTATAATGACGAAAAACATTTGTAGTAACTTACTCTATGAAAGGGCTAATTCTGTAGGGAATACAACAGGAAATTCAAATCTGATCTCGAAAACACACCAGAACAGTCGTCAATTGTTAAAAGTAGTAAAAACGTGAGAGCGGATGTTTAAATTGCTCTCTTGCTTACGCAATTAATCTTTATCAGTAATAAGACAGCGTAACGCACTGTACATTCAGTATAGAGCAATTACAATTCGACCACACCGTAACACATCCCCGCCACAATCACACCACTGTAACGTGAGGAACGTAATTACATGATAACACCAAAGTATGCAAACCAAGAGCAACACCACCTATCTCAAAACGTAATACAGAGCAGCCTCTCAACGACAGCATCCTCCTTGTCTGCACTAGAAGAAACACCACAATGGATAGAACCACTGTACTCCCTTAGCACTCGTAGAATGACGCCAGCGGAATCTCCCTCACTCGACAACTACACTGAACTTTATACTGCGTAAAAGAGTGGGGGTTTCCCGATATACCCTAAGTTAGTTAGTTTACGACGGGCTGTTTTCCGCAAATCTACGTCTAAGCGCGTATTTTGCGTGTGGGCCGGAATAATGTGGTTATTCGAACCATGATATTTCCTCGAAGAAGTTCAACAGTCCTTTGATGTTGCAACTTCGGGGAGCGATCCCGGCGTGCCGAGATGTTTAGCCCTGTATGAAGCGACTTTTGAACATATCAGCAACACGTGAGCCACCGTTTCTTCCTCTCCCATGCATGCCCTGCACAGAGGGCTATCAGTAACACCTATAGTAAACAAATGTTTGTTAAAAGAGCCATGTCCTGTGATAACACTTGTTACTATCCTCATCTGTGGCTTGTTCAGTCTCATTAGAACCTTGGTTAGACGACTGTTTATTTCAGGCAGGGCCTCCCTAGCTTGTCTACAGTCTACTAAATTTTTCCAAAGCTGAGCGTGTAAATCATTGAAGTATCTACATACCAGTGAACGAACGTAGCCAAAGGGGATTGGTATTATAGGTTCCGGCCCTATAGTTGCCAGAGCCGATCCCCTTCTGGCCAGTTCATCTACTGCATCGTTGCCTCTAGATCCTAGATAGATATACTCTAAATTCCACCCCGCGACGCTACGCCAGAGTGACGCAACTTTCCGCCCACTCTTTCTAACCGGCATTCCATACACAGCTATAGATTCAATTGCAATGAAAACATAACGCTTATCAATAAACAAAAGACTAATTTTGAAATAAGAATTCCATGTTTTTAAAATAAAATTAATTTTAAATTAGAATTCTTAGCCAAACAAAAATATAGACAGAGCTACAGAATTCAATTGCAATGAAAACATAACGCTTATCAATAAACAAAATACTAATTTTGAAATAAGAATTCCATGTTTTTAAAATAAAATTAATTTTAAATTAGAATTCTTAGCCAAACAAAAATATAGACACAGCTACAGATTCAATTGCAATGAAAACATAACGCTTATCAATAAACAAATGACTAATTTTGAAATAAGAATTCCATGTTTTTAAAATAAAATTAATTTTAAATTAGAATTCTTAGCCAAACAAAAATATAGACACAGCTACAGATTCAATTGCAATGAAAACATAACGCTTATCAATAAACAAATGACTAATTTTGAAATAAGAATTCCATGTTTTTAAAATAAAATTAATTTTAAATTAGAATTCTTAGCCAAACAAAAATATCGACACAGCTACAGATTCAATTGCAATGAAAACATAACGCTTATCAATAAACAAATGACTAATTTTGAAGTAGGAATTCCATGTTTTTAAAATAAAATTAATTTTAAATTAGAATTCTTAGCCAAACAAAAATAATTTGGATTTGAAATGGCCAATACTGCAGAACAGCAATTTCATAGGTAAGAACCTATTACTATTTGGTTATTCTTGCCATAAGTTTTAAAATCTAATAATATATTTAATTAAATATTACTTTATAATTTGTGAGGTATTTATTTATTTTCTGATAAGGATCACATGAACATCACGATACCCAAGAGGACCTCTTGCATCGGTGAGTGAGACTCTTAAAAAAAATAATTTGGATTCGAAATGGCCAATACTGCAGAACGCCAATTTCATAGGTAAGAACCTATTACTATTTGGTTATTCTTGCCATAAGTTTTAAAATCTAATAATATATTTAATTAAATATTACTTTATAATTTGTGAGGTATTTATTTATTTTCTGATAAGGATCACATGAACATCACGATACCCAAAAGCACCTCTTGCACCGGTGAGTGAGACAAAAGGAAGTGTTTGAGTGTTGAAATGATAAAAACAACCATAATATTATATAATTTACTAATTATAATATGCAACAACTACATTTTAAAAATAATAACTAATATTTTAACACTGTATCAAACCAACTAAAAGTTTACCTATAATTTTGCTACTTATTATTATTTCTTATATTGATTTGTCAGATCTCCACCATGAAAATCAGGGTATGTAGGAAATGACTGTGGCCCTCTTTTTGGAGGCGCTGGCAAAGAGCCTCCGTCTGCTAATCTTTGAGCTTCTATTTTTGCAGCATTTTCTTGCTTCAATTGTGCTATAGCAAGATTTTTAGCAATTTCTTCTTCTGTTGGAGGTTCCTTTCTGTGAAACAATTATAAAATAATACTAAAACAAATTTCAAAAATTATCACATATAATTTTTTTTAATTTGGGTTTGATTATCAGAATTCATTTTAGTATAAAACATCTCACACTCATCGGCACAATGTATTTAATAAAAACCTATACTATGTTATAATAACAAAGTCCTCCAGAATGAATATCGGTCACGGCGGCCAATCTTAAAGCAGATAAGACATCTGTGCAAGACAGGATTAAAGTGCCTTTCAATTCCAATGGAAAGCAGTCCGCCATGACCGCAGATAGATTAGGCGCAAGACTAACGGCCCTACGTGCCTCCCAAGGTACGAGGGTGAAAGTTAAAACACCGCCAACTTCCAGGCTCCGAGCAACATCCAGACTCGATATCTGTTTTGACCCGCCCTAGGATTTGAAACTGAGACCACATGATCACCAGCCGCGTTACGACCACTGGACCAAGACTAGAGGCATACAAATATATTAGTGCAGAATATCTGTGACTTGTTTTCCTTTGACCACACCTTGTTAACCATTAACATCATCATTACATCCCTTCACAAGTCCACTGCTGAATATTTGTTGTTTTTTCTACTTGGTAGAGCCATGCTGAAGCGTAATTATGTTTGTAGCACAAAAAATGAGTCGCACAAAACCTCTTACAGAATAGTAGACCCTTTTTACTGGAAACGAGGTATTCCATCTTAGAACTCAGGGGTGACAAGGCATCTGCATTTTGATTCTTAATCTAGGATAAATGTAGATGTCTATGGGCCACAGCATTCACTCTCCATCAGGTGCACTGTGTGCTCGTTTGTCGCCCTAACTCTATATAAAAAATAACATAGGCCTCCCCCAAGGAATGTCTCAAAACACGGTACCTTTTTCATGTTCATTTAACTCAAGCAACTACTTGATAGAATAAAAACTACAAAACAGTAGCATGGCAGAAACAAGTTTTTTGTCACCACAAGCATAAAATCTATGTCTGTTGTTGCCACAAAAGTAATTATTTTTTTCACAAGTGTATTTATTGCGTGATAACTTAAGAAAATGGAGATAATTTAAATTTACATCACATCATACCTACAACAGAGTAGCAAGTGCTCAGTGACTACCACAGTAAACTGGAAACCTTCTAGAGTAGGGATTCCCAAACTATTTTAGGCAAGAGACCCGTTTTCCAAAATGAACTGCTGACACCTCAGACCCCCATAGTCAAATTACTTTAAAAATCAAAATTTAACAAAATAAATACACATAAAATTCAGTAAATATACTTGATATTAATAATTATTAATATAAATTACAGTTAAAAATTATCAGTTTTTGTTTATGTCGACCCCTGGGAAACGGATTTCGACCGCAAAGGGTATAGATATCGACTACTTTGGGAATCTTTTTTTGGTTCAGCCGGTCCTGAGCCCGGATAAAAGAGAAAGGTTGGCTAGTAGTGACAAATGCAGCCGTAAAAGCAGTCAACACCGAACCTTAAGCGGCGGTTAATTAACACAACAACAAGATTCACTCAAAAAAATTCTAGTGATCTTGGAGCGGCAATTCAGTAGCCGTGAGGGACTAAATTCCCTCTAAAAGACTGATGGATCCGCCGGAGAGAGTAGGTGTATCCGGTTGACTAACACACACACCTGTGCCGAACTTTGGGCGGCGGTTAATTAACGCAACAACAAGACTCACTCAAAAAATTTTCCTAGCGATCTTGAAGCGGCAATTCAGCAGTCGTGAGGGACTAAATTCCCTCTAAAAGACTGATGGTTTCGCCGGAGAGAGTAGGTGTATCCGGATGACTAGCACACACACCTGTGCCGAACTTTGGGCGGCGGTTAATTAACCCAACAACAAGACTCACAAAAATTTTTCCTAGTGATCATGAAGCGGCAATTCAGTAGCCGTGAAGGACTAAATTCCCTCTAAAAGACTGATGATTGCGCCGGAGAGAGTAGGTGTATCCGGTTGACTAACACACACACACACACACACCTGTGCCGAACTTTGGGCGGCGGTTAATTAACCCAACAACAAGACTCACTCAAAAATTTTCCTAGTGCTCTTGAAGCGGCAATTCAGTAGACGTAAGGGACTAAATTCTCTCTAAAAGACTGTTGGTTTCGCCGGAGAGAGTATCTGTATCCGGTTGAGTAACACACACACCTGTGCCGAACTTTGGGCGGCGGTTAATTAACCCAACAACAAGACTCACTCAAAAACTTTCCTAGTGATCTTGAAGCGGCAATTCAGTAGCCGTAAGGGACTAAATTCCCTCTAAAAGACTGTAGGTTCCGCCGGAGAGAGTAGCTGTATCCGGTTGAGTAACACACACACCTGTGCCGAACTTTGGGCGGCGGTTAATTAACCCAACAACAAGACTCACAAAAATTTTTCCTAGTGATCATAAAGCGGCAATTCAGTAGCCGTGAAGGACTAAATTCCCTCTAAAAGACTGATGATTGCGCCGGAGAGAGTAGGTGTATCCGGTTGACTAACACACACACACACCTGTGCCGAACTTTGGGCGGCGGTTAATTAACCCAACAACAAGACTCACTCAAAAATTTTCCTAGTGATCTTGAAGCGGCAATTCAGTAGCCGTAAGGGACTAAATTCTCTCTAAAAGACTGTTGGTTCCGCCGGAGAGAGTAGCTGTATCCGGTTGAGTAACACACACACCTGTGCCGAACTTTGGGCGGCGGTTAATTAACCCAACAACAAGACTCACTAAAATTTTTCCTAGTGATCTTGAAGCGGCAATTCAGTAGCCGTGAAGGACTAAATTCCCTCTAAAAGATTGATGATTGCGCCGGAGAGAGTAGGTGTATCCGGTTGACTAACACACACACATCTGTGCCGAACTTTGGGCGGCGGTTAATTAACCCAACAACAAGACTCACTCAAAAATTTTCCTAGTGATCTTGAAGCGGCAATTAAGTAGCCGTAAGGGACTAAATTCCCTCTAAAAGACTGATGATTGCGCCGGAGAGAGTAGGTGTATCCGGTTGACTAACACACACACATCTGTGCCGAACTTTGGGCGGCGGTTAATTAACCCAACAACAAGACTCACTCAAAAATTTTCCTAGTGATCTTGAAGCGGCAATTCAGTAGCCGTAAGGGACTAAATTCTCTCTAAAAGACTGTAGGTTCCGCCGGAGAGAGTAGCTGTATCCGGTTGAGTAACACACACACCTGTGCCGAACTTTGGGCGGCGGTTAATTAACCCAACAACAAGACTCACTAAAATTTTTCCTAGTGATCTTGAAGCGGCAATTCAGTAGCCGTGAAGGACTAAATTCCCTCTAAAAGACTGATGGTTCCGCCGGAGAGAGTAGCTGTATCCGGTTGACTAACACACACACCTGTGCCGAACTTTGGGCGGCGGTTAATTAACCCAACAACAAGACTCACTCAAAAAATTTTCCTAGCGATCTTGAAGCGGTAATTCAGCAGCCGTGAGGGACTAAATTCCCTCTAAAAGACTGATGGTTTCGCCGGAGAGAGTAGCTGTATCCGGTTGACTAACACACACACACACCTGTGCCGAACTTTGGGCGGCGGTTAATTAACCCAACAACAAGACTCACTCAAAAATTTTCCTAGTGCTCTTGAAGCGGCAATTCAGTAGACGTAAGGGACTAAATTCTCTCTAAAAGACTGTTGGTTTCGCCGGAGAGAGTATCTGTATCCGGTTGAGTAACACACACACCTGTGCCGAACTTTGGGCGGCGGTTAATTAACCCAACAACAAGACTCACTCAAAAACTTTCCTAGTGATCTTGAAGCGGCAATTCAGTAGCCGTAAGGGACTAAATTCCCTCTAAAAGACTGTAGGTTCCGCCGGAGAGAGTAGCTGTATCCGGTTGAGTAACACACACACCTGTGCCGAACTTTGGGCGGCGGTTAATTAACCCAACAACAAGACTCACTAAAATTTTTACTAGTGATCTTGAAGCGGCAATTCAGTAGCCGTGAAGGACTAAATTCCCTCTAAAAGATTGATGATTGCGCCGGAGAGAGTAGGTGTATCCGGTTGACTAACACACACACATCTGTGCCGAACTTTGGGCGGCGGTTAATTAACCCAACAACAAGACTCACTCAAAAATTTTCCTAGTGATCTTGAAGCGGCAATTCAGTAGCCGTAAGGGACTAAATTCCCTCTAAAAGACTGATGATTGCGCCGGAGAGAGTAGGTGTATCCGGTTGACTAACACACACACACCTGTGCCGAACTTTGGGCGGCGGTTAATTAACCCAACAACAAGACTCACTCAAAAATTTTCCTAGTGATCTTGAAGCGGCAATTCAGTAGCCGTAAGGGACTAAATTCTCTCTAAAAGACTGTAGGTTCCGCCGGAGAGAGTAGCTGTATCCGGGTGAGTAACACACACACCTGTGCCGAACTTTGGGCGGCGGTTAATTAACCCAACAACAAGACTCACTAAAATTTTTCCTAGTGATCTTGAAGCGGCAATTCAGTAGCCGTGAAGGACTAAATTCCCTCTAAAAGACTGATGGTTCCGCCGGAGAGAGTAGGTGTATCCGGTTGACTAACACACACACCTGTGCCGAACCTTGGGCGGCGGTTAATTAACCCAACAACAAGACTCACTCAAAAAATTTTCCTAGTGATCTTGAAGCGGCAATTCAGCAGCCGTGAGGGACTAAATTCCCTCTAAAAGACTGATGGTTCCGCCGGAGAGAGTAGCTGTATCCGGTTGACTAACACACACACACACCTGTGCCGAACCTTGGGCGGCGGTTAATTAACCCAACAACAAGACTCACTCAAAAATTTTCCTCGTGATCTTGAAGCGGCAATTCAGTAGCCGTAAGGGACTAAATTTTCTCTAAAAGACTGTTTGTTCCGCCGGAGAGAGTATCTGTATCCGGTTGAGTAACACACACACCTGTGCCGACCTTTGGGCGGCGGTTAATTAACCCAACAACAAGACTCACTAAAATTTTTCCTAGTGATCTTGAAGCGGCAATTCAGTAGCCGTGAAGGACTAAATTCCCTCTAAAAGATTGATGATTGCGCCGGAGAGAGTAGGTGTATCCGGTTGACTAACACACACACATCTGTGCCGAACTTTGGGCGGCGGTTAATTAACCCAACAACAAGACTCACTCAAAAAATTTTCCTAGTGATCTTGAAGCGGCAATTCAGTAGCCGTAAGGGACTAAATTCCCTCTAAAAGACTGATGATTGCGCCGGAGAGAGTAGGTGTATCCGGTTGACTAACACACACACACCTGTGCCGAACTTTGGGCGGCGGTTAATTAACCCAACAACAAGACTCACTCAAAAAATTTTCCTAGTGATCTTGAAGCGGCAATTCAGCAGCCGTAAGGGACTAAATTCTCTCTAAAAGATTGTAGGTTCCGCCGGAGAGAGTAGGTGTATCCGGTTGAGTAACACACACACTTGTGCCGAACTTTGGGCGGCGGTTAATTAACCCAACAACAAGACTCACTCAAAATTTTTCCTAGTGATCTTGAAGCGGCAATTCAGCAGCCGTGAAGGACTAAATTCCCTCTAAAAGACTGATGGTTCCGCCGGAGAGAGTAGATGTATCCGGTTGACTAACACACACACCTGTGCCGAACTTTGGGCGGCGGTTAATTAACGCAACAACAAGACTCACTCAAAAATTTTCCTAATGATCTTGAAGCGGCAATTCAGCAGCCGTGAGGGACTAAATTCCCTCTAAAAGACTGATGGTTTCGCCGGAGAGAGTAGGTGTATCCGGTTGACTAACACACACACACCTGTGCCGAACTTTGGGCGGCGGTTAATTAACCCAACAACAAAACTCACTCAAAAAATTTTCTAGCGATCTTGAAGCGGCAATTCAGCAGCCGTGAGGGACTAAATTCCCTCTAAAAGACTGATGGTTCCACCGGAGAGAGTGGGTATATTCGGTTGACTAACACACACACCTGTGCTAGGACCTATGCAGCCTAGCGCTGTATGCGGGTATGAAGGAATCCTGAAGGATTCAGCTAATCGTCACTGGAGTATATAGTGGCGAGAGGCAACACGCTCTCTTTGGTCCGGATTTCAAGCCCACCGGTGGCCTTATCAGCTAGCCACAGGTAGAGAAATGACCAAGCACCCCATTAGAGGGTCGCAGGCGAGGGACGTGGGGGCTGCCTAGTTTCCTGAAAACGGCTACGTGGTGGTAAAGGCCATGCTGACGTCACTGACACTTGACAGTCACTCAGGCAGCGGGGATAGGCTTCTTCAGCCCCGTCTGCCGCTGGATCGAGCTCCCGATGTCGCGCTGTGAGCCAACTTCGCGTCCCTATATTCCCCCGGTAATCCTAATGCCTGAAATTTCTTTTATTTTAAAGTAGGTCGTTCCCAAAGGTGCAGGCTCCATGGAGGGTGCGAAGCCGGGGGGACAATTAAAATAAACTAAATCAATAATGGACACTTTAAGGCGCAACATAAAAAAGGTGAAGTGAGGTGACTACCAAACACACCATTACCACAAGGAGAAACCGCCAGTAAAATGGCGATTCTACAGAACACGTCACCCAGCGTACGTGGAAATTCCGCACTGAAGGCTCCTAAAACCAATTCCTCAGACTGGAGCCGACCCGACGGACCATCAAGTGGGGCTATCCCGCCAGGGGGCGGAAAAAAGGTAAAGAAGAAGTACAGGAAGCAGAGAGAGAAAGCCCGTAAAAAGGGCGGAGCAGGCTGCTCTCAAAATTATTACCAAGGAGGCTGGGCAAGCTGCTGTTCTTGTGGTGCTTGGACCTGGACCCAGTAGCCGCACTAAAACTGGAAAGAATAATAATCCAGCCCAAGTGAAAGGTGCGGCTGCAAAGACCAATTCCAAGAAATCCGAGCCAGAAAACAGAGGGCTGGTAAGAAAGAAAGAGCAGCCAAAAGGAGGCTAGACGAGACCACCTCGCCGAGAGGCGAGCAAAAAGGGTGAGACTCGAACCGCAATCCAAAGCTGCAAAGACCAGCTATACTTACGCTGTTAAAGCTGAATTGTGTGTGGCCTTAACGTATGCGCGTACAGGTCACATCATAAAGGAAGTAGCTAACGACATCCTCGTAGGTATCCAGAGGAAGATGATTGAAGTAGCCAAGACCCTGATGCGTCGGGCCCAGTTCAGAAGCAAACCCGTTTACACGGAGGATATCCTAAAGTTGTGGTGCGACGACCAGAGGACTTTGGATTGGTTGAAGGGAACATTGCTACCCTCGACCTTAAATCCAACACCATCACATGGTCATCAAGAAACAGTCGTAGAAACCACAAAGGGTCAAATGCGGTATCCTTATCCCTGACGCACATGGGGCCTAGAAAGACTCACGCCACATGGTCGTGTGCTGGCGTACCAGAACCGCTAGGTAAATATAAAAGATTGGTTGTTGCTCAAGGTAGACAAATAGACGGATGGGTAGTTCCCCGTTGTTGGTGCCGGAGGACCATATCTCCACCCTGTTGAAAGCCGGACACTGTCCCGCATGTGTATGTGGGGCGGTATACGTAGAATTCCAGGGTTGTCGAGGAAAATTCTACGATACTTCACTGAGCAAAGAGGCGGAAAAAAACTCAGATGCCACGGATACTAGTGCCATGGACACTGGGGCAGCAGGATCACTGGACTTTAAGACCACTGACAAAACGGCCTGACCAACTGTGCAAAAGCCACCAGTAGAGATCGAACTCACCATCAATTCACTGAGTTACGAGGAACACCGCACTTTGCCGTCCAACTCCAACTCGGTGGCTTATGATGAGACCCGAAATCTGCTGGCACGCTTATTATTGGGCAGGGACTACACCTAAAATAATATGTCTAGGTTCCTTCATAGATATAGGTGCTTTTGACAGAACAAACTTCTCCAGCATAAAAGTAGACATAAAGTTGAACCGGTATTGATTGACTGGATAGTAAATATTCTCAGTACACGAACAATAAAGATTGCTAGTGAATCTTAAACAATCCATATCAAGAAAGGCTGCCCGCAGGGTGGGTTTCTTTCACCTCTCCTGTGGAATATGGTCATTAATGAACTCATCAGCAAATTAAATGACATAGTAGGTTATGCAGATGACCTGACAACACTGGTCTCTGGAAATATAGCAAGCATAGTGTGCGAACTGAACCAAGCTGCTCTCCATATAATGGAGAGATAGTGCAGGGAATGTGATTTAACGATTAACCCAAATAAAACGGTTCCAATAATGTTCACACAAAAATGAATGCTGAATAACTATCACCTCCCAAGTCTCTCCAGCACAAAACTCCAGCTATCCTCTGAGGTAAATTATTAAGGTCTTATCTTGGACAATAAACTGAACTGGAATAAACATATAGAAAACAAAATGTGATTTAACCATTAACCCAAATAAAACGGTTCCAATAATGTTCACACAAAAATAAATGCTGAATAACTATCACCTCCCAAGTCTCTCCAGCACAAAACTCCAGCTATCCTATGAGGTAAATTATTAAGGTCTTAACCTTGGACAATAAACTGAACTGGAATAAACATATAGAAAACAAAATCAACAAGGCTAGTATAACTTTCTGCCAATGCAAAAACATGATTGAAACAATGGGGTCTGACGCCCAGATTATACTGTGGCTATACAAAACCGTGATTCGGCCCCTGATCACATACTACGCACTGGTATGGTGGACCAAAACTAATGAAACTATAAACTATAGAAACTTCACTAATCAACAGTCTTAACTTTGGAAAAATCTAGTAGACAAGTTAGGGAAGCCCTGCCTGAAATAAACAATTGTTTAACTAAGGTTCTAATGAGATTGAACAAGCCACAAATCAGAATAGTAACAAGTGCAATCACAGGACACAGCTCCCTTAACAAACATTTATTTACCATAGGTGTTACAGAGTCCCCTGTGCGGGGCATGTATGGGGGAGGAAGAAACGGCGGCCCAAATGTTGCTGACATGTCCGGAGGTCGCTGCATACAGGGCTAAACTTCTCGGCACGCCGGTATCACTCCCCGAAGTTGCTCACAACCTCAAAGGACTGTTGAACTTCATTGGGGAGATTTTATATGGATTGAATAATTGCATCATTCCTGCCCACAGGCAAAATACACGCTTAGACATGGAGTTGCAGAAAACAGGCTGTCATTATCTATCTATACCTGTTCTAGAGTATGCCATTCACACATGGAGCTTGGCCCTAGAAAACAGTGCACACTGGGAAGCATTTGTGAGTTCCTATGATGTCTAGAAGGCCTTTGTCAGGGTTTGGCACGGTAGGTTTTTGGGTAAGTTTCCCACGTACGATATCTCTCCTTGTCTGATTGACTGCATGAAGGACTTTCTGAGTAAACGGTCTCACCAAGTCATGACCCTATGACGGTAAATGCCGAAGTATTTCAAGAATTCATTCTCTCTGCAACTCTCTTCCTGTTGCATATTAATTATGTATAGAATATAGCCTAGATCCCTCCCGGCATTGTTCTCTGTGTTTGTAAAGTTACACTACAATGGGTTCAGCCATTACAAAGATTAGACCAGACAGACAGACATACAGCCAAACAAAACTTTTAAAAATGATTATTTATGTCTTAACAGCATGCAAATATAGCCTGGACATGTATCTAAAAAATATTCACTATACCTTCTCATTCGTAACCATGACTCCCACTCAGCTGGTAGAGGATCTTGAAAGTCTAACCCTTTGGGGGGGTCATACCAACGAGAGGGCTTTCGTTTACCTCTACTAGGATCAGCAGGAATTTCATAGTAAATATTACCTATATAATCTTTACCTAAAACAGACAAAATAAAATTAAAACTTTAATTTCGATGTAAGAAAACATAATTTCGTTATATTCTTTGTAGACAAATTCAAAAAGGTTTGGAGGTCCTAATGGTTTTCGTCAGTTGTGAACTGATTTTTCTACCTTGTGATTGTGATATTCCTTAGTCCAACCAAAAGGGTCAACAATTTTAACTTTTAATTAAATTTAAAATCAGCTAAGAGAAGATCTAATGCTCTGTTTATTCCATAATATTCCCCATTAAAGTAAATAATGTTAGAAATTTATAGATTTTCAAACACAATAACAACAACTTAAAATCAGGTAGGATGCAGTTTCATACTCAAAAATCAAAATTTTCTTAAAAATGTTGGCTCCAGTTAATTAAAATCTTGAAAAAAAATCTGGGTAAGGTGGTAGAATAAACATTGATCACTAGATCACAGAATGTCTGTTGTACAACATAAAAAAAATCCATCCTGAAATTTTCAAAGTTGTAACATATTATTTTCTGTTAAACTTTTGAAGTTAAAAGTAATGGTTTGGTAGCACAGAGACTAAGCATTTGGCTGCCGTGCTACGAGTTTGAATTCCGCGCAGAACAAGTATCTACATCATATTTGACGGACCACAAATCCTCTCTAAAGAACACGAATTCCTTCCATGGATGATTCGCTAGGCTATTAACATAAAAAAACATCTTAACTACAACAGTGATGATGGCTGGGGCTACCATCTGCTAGGCATCAAATAATAAATAAAATAAAATCCTATAATAAATACCTTGTACGAATAGCCGAAACAAAATTTATATTAAGCTGTGGATATGTAAGTCTCATAAGTGAATGTAAAATTCTTGAGATAATAAATTTCCTAAACTAGAAGATCCCAACCCAAACATACAACTGCAAGAATTCAAGATACTATAAGTTCATACTGCGTAGATTACATCCCCCCTCCCCCACCTACCTAAGGTACCACGAGTGTTACAAAATGCTCAAATTGTCAGGAATACCAGTTTTTAGTTTTATTTAAATATATCATTATTTACTTATTCCTGTCTATCAATAAAGGCAGAGGTTATTACAATGCATTTCAAGATAATCTTCAAACATTAAAAGATAATCTTCAGAATTAGTGCCAGATTTGAATATAATACTAACCCATTTGATTGCCTTGTATTTGGCGTGGTTTCAAAGAATTTAAGAAATTTCTAACGACAATTCGCCAGACATGTCTATATTCACCATTTGACATCTAAAACAAATTGATCACATAATATTATTTTATATTTTACTTTATCACATTAATCTAGCAGTTCTAAGGTAGGCCCTAGACAGTAATGCAGCAAGACATACTTTATGTGCTATCATGCATACACGAATTTTTTAATCTTCTTCTTCTTGTTATTTTAATAGAAAAATGACTCCACAATCAAGATTTTTTAATCTTATTGTTTGATGCAAATGACAAGTAAACATGCAAACTATTTGCTTTTTATTATAGAATAATTGTGACAAGCAGGCACACAGTCCACCTGATGGTAAGTGGATGCTGTGGCCCATAGACATTTACATTTATCTTCAATTAAGAATCAAAATGCAGATGAGTTGTCACCTCTGAGGACTAAGATGGAATGCCTCAGTTCTAGTGAAAAGGTCTCCACTTTTATCCATACAAAACACAAGCAGCTTACCCCTGATGTACCGAGGACATCAATTTTGTCCACGTTTTGTGACCGCTGAGTACCGAGGACATCATTTCATGTCCGCATTACGTGCTGCTATTTTAGTCATTAATTGATATAAAAATACAGTATATTTTTGATTGAACACATTCGATTCTGAACGAACTAAAGAGTATTCTGAAGAATTATATTCACTCGGTTACATAGACAAAATCAAATATAACAGCCATTTGATTTTGCGCTGTTGGTGCGGTTAGTTGCATAATCGTTGAAGTTTTGTGATTGCGATTTTAGTTGGATTTGCTTTCAAAAAACTGAAAGCAATGTTATTTATCTTTACTATGTAATGTTTTTGAATGATTTAAGTTACAACAACAGTAACTTTATATGTTTCAATTGATAAAAAAGTAGAAAAAAACCTCTATGCGAACAATTCATAACGGTCAAGATTTCTAATAAGATTCTAATAGTATATTTCTTATTGGAATACCATAGTAAATACTTTTACTAGGAATTGCTAAATGTTATATTTATATGATTGTATAAGAAAAATAAAGGAAGATGCTATAAAATATATACACAAAAAGGTTTTGAAAATGAGTTTACAAAGAGCGTGCAAACTGTCTTTTGTCGAATTTTTAGCAAATGTTTGCAAGTGAAAAAGTAGAATTATTATAATTATTACATGCATTCCAACCTCAGGTACTTAGGCTGTAATGATGATGATGATGAATTTCGGTTCATTTAGGAAGAATATGTTGTATTGATTGTAAGGACATAAAAATAAAATAAAAACTTATGATATTTCATTCATAAAATAAAATTTATTGTCAGTAAGTACACTTTATCAAGATCTGTTAGAAACAAAGAGCTGTACAAAATAAAATAAACATTTAAATGTTATGGTTATTGTTTCTACTTATCGAAAATCCCCCAGCTGTGACACAGATACAAAGCTGTTTTTTGTTACGGCGGGCGCGGTTTGGAAAAGGTTAAGCTGCTATTTTACACTGTTGTTCTGTGAGAGTGTGGTCTTGCCCCATCGAGCCAACCCATTTGTGCTATAACAATTTTTTTATAGGATAAGGGGGACAATCAAGCACACAGTTCACCTAATGGAAAATGGTTGCTGTGGCCCATAGAAATTTACATCTACCCTCGATTATGAATCAAAATACCGATGCATCCATGTCATGATGCCAGATGTCAACCATGAGGACAAAGATGGAAAGCCTAATTTCCAGTAAAATGAGTCTCCCGTTGTCTGTTGAATATCAATATATCTGCAAGCTACGATGACATATGATCATCTTTAAATTGGCAATTCATGAAACTACTTAATAACCGAAGCACGCGAAAAATACAAAAGAATAAAATTAATAGAAATATTTAAAAAAACACGATAAAATAAATCTGCCTTTGACATTATCACTTAAAATTTTAAGCTACATCCTGAATGGATTACAAACTTCAACACTGCATGTAGTCCTGAAATTAGAATGATGACACAGTATGAAAATCCGTCATGGAGCATGACCATTTACGTAGATACACAAAATAATAAGTAGCAAGTTAATCATTTACGTAACGCCTAAACAAGCTTAAACAAGTATACATTACAGTTTAGGGGCTGCCTCTGCATAAGCTTACCTTATTTACAACACTGACTCGTATTATTTTAAATAAAGGTAAGCTGCGAGCGTCCTAATACAAATGTATAATCTTTAAAACCACAATAGTGACTAGCGAACTAGCGATTCGTTATTAATGTATTTGCTTACTAAAATATGTGGAAATACTCAAAATAATAAATCTTGTATAGTACCTACTATGTTTGTTTATTTCGTAGTTTCGTATTCGTATTCGTAGACAGATAATCACAGAGTACTTTTTGTAAACAGAGAATGAAATGAAATATCTACGGTAGTCTACGGTAGAAATTTATAATACTAAATACAGACATACAACAACTACACAAACAAAGTATTATAACGGCGGCTCTACACGTTGGCCAACACAGTGGCGAATTCCTGTATATACTTATTATACTCTTTGGTGGCGAATGTAGTGGCCAATAGCATTGGCCATCGTGTAGAGCGGGTGTTTGGGCTTCATTGGTATGTATTGGAATGATGGCCAACAAGTTGGCGCGAGATCCGTGTGGTGTCAGTTTTTTACAAAAGATCAAAGGATTGTTGGCAAAGTTTGGTCGCCGCGTCGTTGGACGTTGGACGCGCGTTTAGTTTGCTACAAGCTCCCAGAGTCTTCAGAATTCACGTTCGTTAATGCTAAAAATAAAGTACTTATAGGTTTGGATAATTGACATTTAATTGTATCGCGAGATTCACGAATAGAACCCGTAAGCAACCCATTGCCGCTAGGACGTTGTTGGGATGGGTTGGACAGGGAACCGCGCCCCGTGTTATATGTAGGCAAGATAGTGAAACGGTTCTACATATGTATATTGTATGTTAATACGCGGCATGAATAAGACGTCAAGACGTATGTCAGTCCAGACGAGGAGTTGACCGACCTCCTCAAGAAGCAATATGAAATCGACTCAATAGGTATTTCGCTCAAGAGCAGACCACGACGGTATAATGAGCGCGCTGTCAACATATTCCAGCGCACCGTCAAGAAGGTCGGCGAGAACTACCAAGTCGGATTGCCATGGATGCACGACGACGTAAAGCTGCCACCGAGTGATATGGCAACACGAAGACTACGAGCCTCGAAAGAAAGATGGATCAGTCGCCGCAAGACGAAGCAAGTGAACGACCTCCTGGAGAAGGGCTATGCTAAGGAAGCTGACGGATCAGAACGAGAGGATCCGAAGAGCTGGTACCTGCCGTACTTTGCTGTACGGAATCCAAACAAGGTGGGAAAGTTGAGGCTAGTGTTCCATGCAGCAGCTTGCGCATCTGAAGTGCTTGAACAACTATTTGTTAGATTGTCCCGACTTATTACGTAATTTGCCGGGTATATTATTTCGGTTTCGTGAAAACGAGATAGCAGTGTCAGCGACTATTAGAGAAAGGATTCGGCGTTTCCCGAAAGAGTACGTAAGGACTTCTATGATATTCGGAGTGAGAAGTTCACTTTTTCTCGCGCATAGTGTTAGGGACCACAACGCGCGCATTTACATTGAAACACATCATCGTGCCCTCAAAGCTATTGTCAACAGTCATTACATGGACGATTACTTAGCAACGTTGCGCTACGCTACGCAACGTTACTCGAGGCAATCGAGACTGCTAGGCAGGTCACCGAGGTACACCTTAAGGTAGGCTTTACGTTAGCAGACTGGAATTCAAATCACGTAGCTTTATTGTACGATAAACTGGAAGAGCTATTAGCACCTAAGCCCAAGGAGGTACGCGCGACACAGGACGTTTCCGGTGGGATATTAGGTTTATTATGGATAGCTCAGAAAGACGTTTTAACGTTTAAAACGTCTATGAATAGGGTGCCGCACGATGTTAAATTACTACACCGCCCACCGACTAAAAGGGAGGCGCTGAGCGCGGTTATGTCCGTTTTCGATCACTGGCACTCACAACAACCGAATTCTGCTACAAGAACTGTGGCGGATGAAGAGAATCTGTTGGGATGATGAGATTCCCAAGGAGGCCGCGGACGAATTTGCGAGATGATTACGAGCCGTCGAAGATGTATCGCGGTTGTATCTCCCGCAGTGTTAAGCTCTTACGTGGGGGGTAGTAGATCGCCAGTTTAGTAACGCTTTAAATTAATTGAATATCCTATTTTGGTTAGCGTTTTTATAACGAATCTAACAAAACGAGGTGTTTGTCAATCCCACCCGTCATTATTAGTACGTCATCGATGTAGACCATACTTTTTCGGCATCAATGAAGGATTTTAAGCGTTTTAGAGATAGTCTTTAGATAAAAAAAATCGGCACGTTTGCGAAACCGTAGGCGTAACGAATGCGGTCTTATGAGTCGATTCTTCTGCAACTCTATGTTGATGGAAACCGGAAACCATACCCAGAGAGCTAAACCAGCGAGCATTACCGAACATATCCATATAATCAAGGGAGAGGATATCTAGTGTAGACGGTTATTCGATTCAATGCACGATAATCCACGACCAATTATCAGAACCATCCTTCTTTTTTACTAGCAAGATCGAACTAGCGTATTCTGATTCGGATTAGCGAAAAACTCCCTTTACCGAGCAAATCTTTCACTATAGACCTTACCTTTAATTTGTCGTCATGCGATAACTTGTAGGGTCTATAGTACACGGGCACATCGGTTGTTAACTTGATATGCATCTAACTATCTTTCACCGTAGTGTTCGCGGCACCACTTAAAAAAATTCTGAATACTTGCGACTGACACATACACCGACGTATTAACTTGATCGTACAAAGAAATCAAATTTATTTGCAGAATATCGTTTACGGTTGCCTCCATAGGTCGCTATGAATTATACGTCGGCGATCACCGGTCCTAACATAAGTAATAACTTTCCTGTTTAGTACGTCTGTAACTATAAAGACAGGTACATTTAAATTATTGCCACCCACCACAATAAATCAATTTCTATTGTTATATCGCTAAACTAAACGGGTAATGTTACAAATGATTACGATCTTATTTTAATGCATCCCAAGCCGCGTAATAACTGATTAGTAGGCTTTACTTGACACGGGAAATGATTGACAACATTTTTTGACATTAAGAAAACACATGAACCACCATCGATTAGTATATCTAACAGTACTCCCGATATGACCGCAGTTGTTACATCACGATTCTTTTAACTATCCGCGCTTTCGCGACAAAAATTGACACCATTATTATGACGTGAGTTTCCGCGTTCCTTAGGAAAACAAGTGACTTCGGAATGACCTACCTTTTTGCAAAACGCACACTTCAATGTATAGCCACGAGATGTCGTCGGTATAGCGATTGCTTTTTCGTTACTATTATTCGGGAGTGTATTCGACCGTTTGTTACAATTAACACTCTTATGACCAAATTGAAGACATTCATAGCACTTTATTGATTTTAAATCTTTGGGATCATATTGACGTTTTAATGGTTTGAGTTACTACTATTTTCTTATTATGGCTGTCAGAAGGTTTAACAAAGCTCGATAAAAACTCCACTATAGAATCAGGTGATAATTTAGCGTTAGTAGTCACAACAAGAATTTGTGAATCTGAAATTAAAATAATAGCGGTAGCAGCTTGCTACTGAGACCTTTAACTATGCGTAACTTTAAAAGTGATTTACGAGCATACTCGGTGTATGTGGAGCATTTATCGGACCCTGTCCGCATTACATCATAAAGGATGTTCGCGACATCGACAGAACGTGGACAAAGCGCTTTTAATTCTTATTTGAAATTGGACTACGTGCGAATACTGCTTGTCCATTGGCTAAGCCAGGAGATAGATTCTCCTTTTAAACTACGTCTGACACGAGCAAGGCATTCTCTGTCATCCCAGTGGTTCGAAATACGGGCTCTTTCTTCCTCATCACACCACGTGTCGAAGACATGAACATTCGGATCAAAATCAGAGACAAAATATCGGTTGCATCTAACCTGAGTACAGCCGACAGCGCTCAAAAAACGCTCTACGGCATTCGTCACCACGTCTTCAGACTACGTTTAATCCCACGTTGCTAGTGTGTGGAGTCAGCGGTGGCGTCCCCACTCGCGATGGCACAGGTTCACGCGGTGGATTAGGCCCATCGAACACCGATGCCGATGGTGTCATGTTTGGCAGCTCGAGAGCGCGCCTAGGGCCGGCGCTGGTCGTTGCAATGGCTTGCGTCTCCACTGACGCACGGGGCTGGTCCTCCAGCATGCGTAGCCTTCTCAGAGTCTCTACCATCGCATTGGGCGAAGGAGTTTACCCACGGCGTTTTTGTTTGTTGCGTTGATCGTTGGCAGGTATCACGCAGACAAAAACTCCGCCCGAATATTAAATAAACGAACTACGCGGAGGAACACTAAGTTTAATAAAACCAGAAATATAGGCGTTCAGCGGCTTTTCAGCCTTCTTTTTTTTTTTTTGATGTTCCACCTTCGTCGCATATTGGCAGGGCTACGGGAATGCTTTCGCACACTTCCGCGGCCCTACCAGCGACTGCCGCCCCATGGCAGCACCTCCTCGGGAGAGGAATATTCCTCCCCGTTCTCCTTCCCAAGTAAGGCGCACCAGAACACATGGCACGCCTTCCTCCGTGGCCTCCAATTACATCTGCGCAACAGACGCCCCCGCGTCCGATGCGCGAAGGCCATGGGGCCAGGAAAAACGAGCACTTAGAAGTACTAGCCTTCCCGACCCCAGCGGCGGATCTGGTCTATGGCTCCGCCGCCAACCAAGATTCAGCTGCGGAGGATAGGGAGAGCGGGGCCTCGCAATACCGACAATCCTCTCCCCCCGCAGCCCCACCACCACCGCATCAACGGTGCGGCCCCGCTTGAGTCGCGGAGGATAGGGCGAGTGGCGCATCGCCATACCAACACTCCTCTTCCTCCGCGACTCCACCTCGGCTGCAGCGGTAGAGGGTGCGGAGTCCCCACTCGCTGCAGTCCACCAGCACACATCCGAAGTGGGCTCCCCAAGCCCACTCGGAGTGGCCACCTCAGGCCGGCCCTTCACCTCGGGTCAGCCACGTGGGTTCCTCTTTGTTCACCGTGGGTGACCAAGCCACGGCTACTAAGCCCCCCCCCCGCCACGACAAGGCGGGAACCCGTTCGGGGGGTGGGCCTTCTGATCCCACTTCTGATGTTACAAATAGAAACACAGATTAACTTTTTAAAAAGATTTTATAAAAAATAACTAACTTAAAAGTTTAAAACAAGATAACAAAATTAACGATTTAAAATAATGACGCTAGGTATTCGAGCAGCGCTTCTGCACTCCGTGATGACCGATGCCAAAAAGGGGCGAGCGCCGATAGCCGCCCTCCTATATAGCCTGCCGCAGCACACTTGATTCAGATCCTCATCTAACACAATTTTATAATAAAATAGATAGTTGCGCGGAAAAATAATCGGGTACTCTCACATTTTGTTCGGTTGGTTATTATTTGCCAGTGTCTCTTTCCGTCCCACTACGCATTCCATTCCTCATGCACTAAAAGAGGGGGGTCTAAATATTTTTGGCTAATGAAAACGCGCCCCGCCGAGATGGAAGTGGGAAAAATGCCCTTTTCATATTTGGACGTGCACTGCTGTCACTCAACTCTTCTTGCATCGTAGTCGAAGAGAACCGCTAGTTGTGTCCGCATCTCTGTGGCAGTCGCGCCACATAACAATCTAGAAGCAACCACCTCGCATAGTGCGAGTTATCGTCGCGCACCGCTCTCTTCCAACGCACCACAAGACCAGGAGTGTCATCCACGAGGCCCCAAGGAACCCTACCTCGGTAAGTGCTTCCTTTTAATTTGTCTTGAACCGTTTTATTTTCTTGTCGCATTTCTCTCCTTAGCAATTCAAGAGGAAACTCCTCCGAGACACTGGCAAAATCTACTGATTTTGGAATAGCAAGTGCATCGTACAAGGTTGCCGCGTGCCACGTCGGCCATCTTGTTTGGTTGTAATAATCCGCAAATACAGTCCACATAGTAACATCTCGCATAATAAGGTCAAGGCTCGACCTGGGAATCGAACCCGAGACCCTAATCGCCGAAAACATTTCTGGTCATTGGCCCCACCATAGCTTGGTTCTTTCAAGCAGGATTCGAGGAGACAGTCTGTGGCTCAACCATTTTCTGGTCTGGATTTGCAACCGACGCCCTGTGCCCTGACCAAGTCGAACTGCTGAACCAATTTCTTGGACGACGCACTCTAGTTTGTTAACATTGGATAGATTTAACTTTGCCTAGAATTACCAACGGTACGCCGTATTGTTGATTTTAAAAATGAAAATAATTGA